GGTGGATCAAAACCAACTTTGTCCATTTTACATTTTTTGTTAAAACCTAAATTAAAAAAGCAGGCCATGTACATAACATTTTTATGTCTCTATTGATTTTGAATTTTTCCTAAATATTTCTCACAGGGAAAAGTCAGGTTGCAGTGGGTGTTGTGCCAATAGGGTTTAAAGAGAAGTCATCTGAAAGTGCCCTTTCTGTTTATCCCATTGCAATTGGCAACTGCGAAGAAAAAAGGTATGAATTGCATGAATACAACATTTTTAAAGGAAGGATTAAGGGGAGAAAGATAGAGAGGGATGGAKGACTGTCATCCATGACCATTCATTACACAGAAACTCCTATTAACCTACTTCTTTTGAAATTCAGGGAGAGCTTGAAACAATTACTTGCTGTTTTGAAAGTCCAGAAAAACCAGATTAAAAGGCATGGTCTTTTAGTGGATGGAAAGAAATACAACTTGAATTTCACAGGTTCTGATCAAATTCTTTAGAGTTATTAACTATGATTATGCATGTCTCAAAAGAATTACAAATCATCTCTATTATATAATACATATCTTATCTCAAAAATGCAATTAACGTTTTCATTTTTGTTTTCTTTACTATTTCTACTCCATATTTCTATTAAGAAATATATGTCTCATCAAGTCTGGTTAGACAATCATTTATAAAGTACTTATATCCTACAATGTTAATATATATATGTTTTCCATGCAGTTACCATAGACTACAAAGCACTGCTCATTTTATTGGCAAAGCCAGAAGATGAAAACTYTGCTCTTGGTGGAAAGGGTCTCTCTTGCCAGTTTTGTGCTTTCTGTGATGCAATAAGGGTAAGTAACTAGTTTTCTGTACTGATTTATCATAAACAAATATAAACAAGAAACATAAGCAAGATGACTTTTTTCATTTACTGGTCCAGTGTGAAGTGCATACTTCTAATTTGCACCAACACATTTGAGGTCAAGCTGGTTGGTTTTACCRAATAATATTGCTATCTTAAAAGCATGTTTTGCAGCAAATTTAAAGCATATAATTATGCAAATGCATTAGAATATGATTATACTTTTGCTTGTTGCATTGCAAAAAAATGCTGTAATGTCTTATATTTTTCAACTATGAATRACAGTACTTATCACAGATTAAAGTAATTTTTCACAGTTCTTTTATGAAATAAATTTCAACAGGCATGTACTCAGCATGGTGCCAACTTAGATGAAACATGTGTTGGATGTCTAGCATCAAAAGCCAATATTGGCAGGTAACTTTTTTTCTGCTGTGTCATTCTAAAATTAAAGACARTTATTAAATCAAATATGATCCAAGTGGGCCAAAATTTTGCAATAAATATATTCTGCTGATCAAAACCTAACAACTTTAAGTATTTATATTAATTATAATTGCAATATTTTTTGTGATATCTTCCATCGTAGGTCAAAAGGTATAAGAGATGACCTTACGTTTCTTCTGGAGGAGGATCTGAGCCAGATTAACTTGTGTTCATTGCATTGTGAAATGCGCAATACTGAACAACTAATTAAGTCTTTGGGGTATCTGGCGTACAGGATTGGTTCCCTTGAAGAACTGAATAACACCCTTAAGTATTATGGGCCAGA